TATGTAATAATCCACTATCATTATTGAACTAAATAATTATTAAAAAAAGTTAGAAAAGGTAAATTAGGAAAGTAATCTATCAAAATTGTTTCATAATTATTTAAATAATGTTCCATTATTACTATTATTATTTCAATAAATAATTTAGAAAAATTATTAAGTCTATCAACACCAATCTAGACCACTTAGTTGACTTCAACCATACTTGGTTTTACATTAATTAACAACAAATGCTTTACTTTAAATTAAAAATAACATAATTTACCATAATTACATTAATTTACTATTACTTTGATTAATAGTAAACAATTTATGCTTAAAACTAAAAAATTACATTACTACTAATCAAAAGAAATTTCAAGGATTTTTTTGAAAATGATCATAAAATATTATAATTTGTTGTTATTTAATTTACTGATAGTTAATTAATTATAGAAAATTATTAGAATTGCAGGGATGACAATTTTTCCTATAAAATTGGGGCCCTACCTTGCCCCGTCCCGAACGGGGCAAATTTTCTCAAATCTTAAACGATGATGGGGGTAGAGATGGGGTGGGGATAGGAAAAATATTTCTACCCCAAATTAGGGATGGGGTTTACATATAATTCCCCAACCTAACGGTAAATTAGTAAAATATCCAAGATTTAATATTGATTTTTAAAATATATCTAAGTTTTCCTCGTATTCTTATAATCCTAGGATCCCATAATTTCATTTATAAAATGCCCCCAAATTATCATAATCCAATTCCTAAAACACCCCCAAGGCCCAAAATTAATTTTTTTTAGTTAGTTGCCTCAAGGTGGGGAAAATTTAGGGATTCCTCATCCCCAACGGGGAACGGGTGCCTTGCCTTAAAGCTACCTTTCCATTGGGGTTGGGGTGAGTAGAGTGTCTTGACTTATGGGGGCTAAGGACAAGGAGGGGTGCCCCACCCATGCATTGCACAGACCCTTGCTAGTATATAGACAGATAGATAAATAGATAGATAGATAGACAGACAAATAAGGGGTGCCCCACCCCATGCACCACACAAGCCCTTGATAGATAAATACCCCCCATGCACCGCACAAGCCTTTGAATTTTTTATTTTTTTTATTCCATGTCATTTTTGAAACATCCAATGAGATGCACTTTCCCGATAACCTAAATAATCTCTTCTCCTAAAATTACTCCTAAACTACCTCCCCCACTTTCTCCAAAATTATCTCTAATTCCTATTTATCTTCTAAATCATCTCCAATTCCTATTTATCTCCAAAATTATCTCTTTCTCTCCTAAATTATCTCTAATTCCTATATATCATCTCCCCTACTTTTTATCTATATCTATCTAAAGAATTTTGTATTAAAAAATTTAAGAATAATTTAAATACTCTAACAAAACTATATAATAAATTTAAAATATTTATTAAAAACACAAAAAATAATTTTGTTTTTTTACAAAATATATCACAAAATTATGTACTAACAATTTAAATTATATTTTTATGGATTATCAATTTAAATAATTTAAATAATTTCCAGATTATCAATTTAAATAACTAAATATCTACCATAACTAGATTTTAAATAGTTAAAATAACGAAATTATGTAATAAATTTAAAAAATTTCTTCAAAGTAGAAAAATAATTATAACATAATATTGAAATTAATAATAATTTAATATATTACAAAATTAATAATGAAATTATGTAATAATAGTATAAATTATGATTTTATGGATAATTATATTCAATAAATAATTAACATTTTAAAATTTAAATATTTTACAAATTATTTAAGTGTTTAAATAACTAAATATTTTAAATAATAAAATATTTAACATAACTAGATTTTGAATAGTTAAAATAAAAAAATTATGTAATAAATTTAAAAAATTCTAAAAAGTAAAAAAAAATAATTATAACATAATATTGAAATTAATAATAATTTAATATTTTTACATAGTAACAATTTGAGAAAATAAATTTCAAAAAAATTAATATTTATTAATAATAATTTTAAAATCTGATTTTTATAATTATATATACTAAAATTAATATTTATTGTCTTTTGCGATAAATGTATTTTCAATGATTATGTATAAATTTATGTTGTTTTGTTATTTAATAGAAAACTTTTAATAGTTTTTGGAGATTAAATTACTATTATTTTAATTTTTAAATTTAAGCTATTATACTTATTGTATTTATTGTATTTTTGTTATTAGTTACTGATTAATATTTATTAAAGGTTATACTATTATTTGAGATTATACTATTTATTGACTAAGCTAATATGTTTTAGTACTTATTTTATTTTTGTAATTTTTTTAATTATTATATTTTTCATTAATATATTTTCAATAATTATGTATTTTTGCTATAAATTTTCAATAATTATTGGAGATTAAACTATTGTTATTTATCAGAGATACGACTATTAATTTAGATGAAATTATGAGTTGGTTTGGTTCAATCGTAGGCTATTTGGCCAACCAAATTGACCTGATCAGGTTAGGGAGTTGGTCAGCTGAAACCAACTAACCTTTTGTGAAAACTAACTCACTCAAGTTGTCTCGGTTTGGGTCAATTTTTTTGTTTGGTCAGCCTATTCAAAAGATTTAAACTTAAAAWTTTAATTTAATTTTAAAAATTACAGTGCAATTATTAAAAAATTAGATTTATGATTTAAAATATTTTAAACTAAGAAATATGGGAAAATTACTATATTAATTACACTGACCAATTATTAACTCACTTTTCCATATTAAAAATTATATTTAAAGTATAAAATATTACTATATATCCATGGTTAGATCGTTCGATTTTGATCGGTTTACAAATGGCCAAAGTGAAACTAATCCAACTCGATCGAATTAGGAAACTTTTGAATCAAAGCCAACCTAAAATACTAGAAAACCGACCAACTCAGGTCGAGTTAATCTGGTTTGTCAGTTTCATCAATTTGATAAATAAACCTAACTAAAATTAATTATTATTATTATTTTTGTATTATAAAAAATTTATTAAAAGTAGTATATAAAATATGAATATTTATTAATTATTTAAAAAGTTGAAAATATAAAACAATTGTATACTCCTAAACACACTTTTAGGGATGGCAATTTTCCCCATCCCCGATGGGGACCCGACTTTCCTGACCCGATGGGGCTAGGGATGGGAATTGTTTTGGCTGAGCGGGGGCGGGGATGGGGATTAATAGGAATCCCTAGTCGAGGTCGGGGTCGGGTTGGGGATGGGGATTGAGGTCCTCGCACCCGACCCCGATTATATATATTAATGCTATTTATATTAAATATACTATTATATTATATATATATATATATCAAAACATATTTAAAACATTATTTATAATTTAAAATTTTTATTGATTTTAAATAAATTTATTTAAAAAAATACTATTATCTGAAAACATTTTGGGGATTCGGGTCCCTACGAGGAACCCATCCTCGTTAGGGATCGGGGATGGGGCTAATTTCAGAATTGGGGTCAGGGATGGGGAATATGATCCTTGCCCCATTGCCATTCCTACACACCTTATAGTTTTATATATTTACTTAAACCTACCTTATAGTTTTCATTTTACTAAAACATCCCATATATTTTACAACTTATTTTCTTAATCAACCTTTCATTAAGAAGTGTTTATTTTGCCATTAGGTCCATGACTTTTTATTCCAAAAATACCCTTAACACTTTTTTTGTATAAAAAAACAAAATTGACCAAATATATCCAATAAAGTGGTTGCCCATGTCTTATTAAGGGCAAAAATGGTATTTTCATTTTTATTTTGTTTTGATTTAAATGAATATTAGGGTCAACACTTCATTTTCCACTTTCATCTAATAGAAGATTGATTAAGTCCATTGCAAATTATAAGTGGTGTTTTAGGAAAATGCTAACTATATGGTAGATTTTAGTAAATTCATGAAACTATAAGGGATATTTTATTATATGACCCTTTCTATTATTTAGTTTTCTCTTAATAAATCCCGTGCATCGCATGGGTCCCCACTAGTAAGAAAAGATAAATATTTTTCGAAAACAACCAAAGCAAGAAAATGCCAATTGGCACACTCCCTTTTAATACATAGATATAGATAACTTTGACAGCTGTTTTTTTGCTTTATACTAACCAAAAAGATTGTTATTCATACAATCAACATATTTTCAGCGGGTAAATTACTAAAACTCCGCTTGAAGTTTCTAACCCTTTCTGAAACCTCCTCTAAAATTTTGTAATTGCAATCATTTCCCTTGAATTTTTTTACATAGTTGCAAGTAGACCCCTATGTTAGAATCCTCTAAGAATAGGCGCAAATATGTCATGAACACTTGTGCAATTACAATTGAGGTTGGCTTTATACAAACTTAATGAACCAAAAAAAAAAATGAAAAGAGAGTTTAAGTTGTAACTTTACCTTTGAGCAAGTGACATGAAGAGCAAATTAGGCAAATAAATCAATTTTAGAAAAGGGATTGGAAGGGTTTAGATTAACAATTGATATGAAGAGAAAAATTGGAAAATAAACTTTTTGATCAGAAGTAATTGCTTGGATATACTAGACATTTTCTTATTATAGGATTCTAAGAGAGGAGGTCTACTTGTTAGAGGTTTTAGCAATTTACCCTATTTCCTCACCCTTGCTCTACACGTCAAATAGTGGTTTTGTAATTATTAAAATACCATCCATTGATCATCTTCAAAAGACAGAAAAACCCTAATTGTCGGCACCTTAATGATGTAAGGTTTTTCAGATATCATATATATTTTCAGTATTTCTATTTTCTCGTACCAACCAAAAGCAAGATTGGTTGATCTCGCTTGGCCCGGGCCCTCCGGTCGAGTTCGGTTTGTTATAGCCTGATCCGGCTTAGGCCGGCTTGATCTACATTCAGTCGTTGACCTTGCAGCTGGCACACGTACAACCCTAAGGCATGGAAATCCAATGTATCCTACTAAGCACCAATAGTGGCCATTATAGCAGAAATATTCCAATCGAACAGTGGAAGTATTGGAAGGATAATCAGAGCTGTCCTCCCAAGGAGTAAGCCATCACGACACAAGATGAAAATGCAAGCAAGGTTTGGTAGGATTTATGATGATTACGGCAAATGTTTCCCTTGTTCATTAAAAATTTAAAACAAATTATTTGACATTTTAACCGAATCTCCTGATTTACTAACTGTCATATTATCCATGTTTTAAGTCTACTGGTCTCTCCCTCTCCAGAAAACGTATACAATCAGGATTCTTTTCTGAGTTTACTTGGATGTGCACACTCAGTTGAAAGAAATTGCTGGATTGGTGATTCTCGGTCGAATCTGAAAATGGGAGCTTCGTCTTGGCCGTCTGAAACCGAGGTAATCTTTGGTTCTTCGCTATACATGAGGCTCTGCTTCATGGGTTTCTGACTTCTTGTTAATGGTGACTTCTTCTTCCTTGGGATAGGCATGATCCGTGCTGAAATTTTATGGGTTACCTTTCCTTTTTCGGTTTTGATTTTTATACGAGTATAATTGTCACTGTTGATGGATGATTTTGAGTATGGTGCATTGTCGGATTAACATGGCATTTAGCCTTTGGAATGGTGGTTTGGATGCTGGTCGGTGGTACTGTATTGGACTGTACTCTGTATATATAATTTTTATCCATTTGTCTTGAACGCTTAGAAATTGTTACTTCGATAATTCGGGTTGGGAGGATGGAGGTTGTTTGTGGCTTCCTAATGTCGCGATTTCTACTTTGAAAATGGTAGTAGCTGGTTTGCGACGGTAACTAATGTTGTCTAAAATAATGCTTCGGGTTTTCTTGCAGTTGGATGGGGTAAAGAAGATGGTTGCTGAAATGAGTGGGAGAGGTGTTGAGGAGGTAAGGGTTGTTGTCTCTCCTTACAGGATATGTCCATTGGGAGCTCACATTGATCATCAGGTCAGCATGTTTCTCAACAATTTACTTTGTATACATGGTTATGAGCTTAACAATTTAGGGCCCCTTTAGCGCGTCTTTCCGCTTGGTCTTTCGGCTATTTACAAGTTGGGCAGACCGATTTTCGGTCTATTCCTGTTTGGTTCGCAGAAGATCTAGCCGCCAAAAGACGGAGCGCCAAAAAGATGCGAGAAGCCCATTTCGGGAAGCTCCAAATGAAGCTTTTCATGTCTTTCATGTTTTATTCTTGCACGGAAAGACACACAAAAAGACGGGTATCTGCCAAACTAGCTTTGGGCTTCTCAGATCTTCATGCAAAAGCTCAATGTGTCTTTTGACTGTTAGAGCTATCAGAAGATCTTCCCAAAAAGATGCGCCAAACGGGCCCTTACTTGTTGCTTTCTCAACTAATCAAAACCAAAATGAGAAAACAAAGCTTTTGATTCAATATTTGACTGGAGCTTGAATATTATTGTTACTTGGCAATCTTTAGATGACCCTTTCTTTCAAATATTCCATTTGGTAGGTATTGAATCATTATATCATCTATTAGTTACAGGGAGTTTAGTGTTTTGTTGAATGCAAGCATGGCATTATCTCTTAATACACCATGCATCTTTTGCCGATGTAGCTTGCACTAAAGGAAAACAACAAAGAAAAGGTAGGATTAAATTTATAGTACATAAAGGAAATTTCCCCTTTAATAAAACTACAAAGAGGGATAAAGATCCAAGATCCTATATATTCTGAGATATATAATAACTGCCTCTCTCTAGTTTCATATGTAGATAATAAATAACTATTATTTACTTTGATATTTGATAGATCTGTTGCATATAGAATTGGAAGTACTGAAATACACTATTTCTTTTAGTGTCAATTGATTTGTGGTTTCTGGATTTGATTAATATCATCTGGAACTTCTACAATTATCTTTTGGATGTTGAGTTTTATCCTGGTTGTATTTGTACCATTTGTTGCCAAATGATTTTTGATTTGAGATTATTGGTAGTTTCTTCTTTGATGAGTTACTCAAGTCTTGCACAATTTTGGAGAACTGTCGATTGTAGTTTAATAGATAACTGGCACTTTTTTTTTGGCTTCATGGGGCTACAAAATGGGGTAGTTCCTTATTGCATTTTGGGATAAAAACAATTTTAAGGGGTTGTATTGTGCTTCTTTGGAAGATTCTTCTAGGCTGTATTGGAAATTGTGCAAAATACATCAGGATGTGGAATGAATGGATTTGGAGGATAATAAAATCCCTTCTGCTGGTTGCACAAAGTAGACTGGACAGCAATTAGGATTGATCAAAATGGCCCCATCTCTTTCAAAGAACAGAGAGGGCAGTAAATCCTAATAGGACGATAGAATTACTGCTTTGAATGAGGATCAAGAGAAGAGAAAATAGATAAGAGAGCAACCTGTTTTGATACCATGTCAACACTCTTGGCCGAATAGAGAAGAGAAGAAGAATAATCTTAGAGGTGTCTAGAATAATCGACCCCCACCTCAAAGAGTCTTTTATATATTAAAAGATATGTACAATTACAAGAATGCCTATATAGGGCTGAAAGAGAAAAAAGAATAAAGAATACAAGTAATTTAACATACAATAGGAAATATACTAATAAGATACATCAAGTCACAGAGTCTCCACAATAACCGATAGAAATATGTGCTATTGAATGGTGGATTTGTCCTTACCTCAGACATGGCCAGTAATCAGTCCCCAAGTAGATCCTGATGGCTATTGGAGAGAGGGATATTTCAAAAACTTGACCTCAGAGTGCTTTCAAATCAAACCAGAAGATTCTCAGCAAGAGTTGACTATGATTGAGTCAATCAGGCTCTGCTACCATGTAAACCTGGATAGAATCGATCTGCCTTAGGTATATTCACTACATAACATGTAAGAGAATGAGAGCAAAACAAATGTGTGTTGTCTCAATGAATTAGCTCCGCCCAACCAGGTCAATATTATATAGGGCTAAATATACAGAATAAAAAATTATCCCTTATGAGGGACCAAAGGGCAAATATATGAATTTACAGGGACCATACAACAAATGATAGAAATGATATAAAACAGAAAATAAACAAGAAAACAACAAATGGAGTGGCAAATAGTCCTGCAGATTTAACTTTCTTTTTCATGATGGTGATTACTGAATCACATAATTGTGGGTTTCTAGTCTTAATTTTTTGTGTTGTTTGCTGCTTTTCATTTATATGAAATACATATATTGGAGTAGTGCCTGTTGTTTCCCTTTCATATTTTGAAATTAAAACTAAATTTCTTCTTTTCTTGTTTGATGTTTACAGGGTGGTACTGTTTCAGCAATGACAATTAATAAGGGTATACTCCTGGGATTTATTCCTTCCGGCAACACCCAGGTAAAAAAGCTATTTTTTTTTCATTCAAATAGTGATGCAAAACATTTATCAGGTAATTATGTGCATTTTCATTTTCTTTATCTCTTTCCCTTCAAGATTTTGTTTACACCTTATTGGTTGACAGAGTGAAGAAAGAATAATATGAAATGGAGATTAAAGTGCCAGAACAATTAGTTTTTTTTTATGAGTAATTAGAAAATTTAGTAATTAATCAATAATGGAATAATAATATACAATGAAGCTTCCCAATACGAGTCACAAGCTGCAGCCTCAAACAAAAACAGGGAGGTATTGCAATTGAGCCCAAAGAAGATGGTCCCTGTGCACTCCTCACTTAGCTAAGTAAGCCACTTTCCCATTGGCCGGTCTCCTTTCCCAATGAATTCTTAGAGGCAATTTGGTGGTCAACCATTCAAATCTTTTCATTGAATCCTTATAAGACCAGATTATAGAGTCTGGATCCTTTATCCATCCAATTATCAACTTGGAATCCCCTTCAATTAAGAGCCTACCAAAATTCAGCTCTCTAGCAATCTGAACTCCCTGCAAAACTGCCTGGAACTCCACATGGACAGAGTCCCCCATACCTACCAGGCCCGAATAAAGAGCAACTATGTGACCTTCAGCATTTCTGAAAAGACACCCTATTCCTGAAGGCCCTGTATTGCCAACGCTTCTGCCATCAAATTTGAGCTTGATAAAGCCTACATCAGGAGGGGTCCAAACTACTAAGGGCCTTACCTTAGCCACGGAACTCTTCTCTACAACTTCCCAATTTCACAACATATCATTAAAGGACAGTAGTCATACAAGACTACAGAGACTCTTTAGGTTTTGAACAGAAAATAAAAGAGAAGGAGAAAAGAAGAAGAAGAGAAGAAGAGAGATAGAGAAGAAGCACTCGTGGGAGAAGCTTTGAAAGAAGAGAATAGTTGGAGTGCTTAAAACAGCCACCCCACTCCTTAATTTATATACATGGTTTCCTAATTGTAAAAGAACTTTAATGCTTACATGGCAATAAAAGATAAGATTAAAATAAAACTAATCCTAGATAAGATAGAATAACTAATCCTAGATAAGATAGAATAAAACTTATCCTTATCCCACTAGGAAAGCTGATCCTAATCAATTAAATCTAAGTACATCTCAGGGTGTCACACGAATACTCTCAATGTGGGCTCCACAGTTTCCTACACTCCCCCTCAAGTTGGGTATAGATATTTGTCATTCCCAACTTGCATAGATCTTCTTCTAACTTCTTTCTTGAAACAGACTTGGTGAGAAGGTCTTCAAGCTAAACTTATCCTTCTTGAGATGTAACCTTTTCTCTGATAAAATGCCGGTCCACTTCGATATGCTTAGTTCTGTCGTGCTGTACTAGATTATGGGCTATATTGATGGCAGCCTGATTATCACAGTACAACATTAGGGGTTTCTCATAAACAATACCCAATTCTTCTAGTAATGACCTCAACCATAGAATCTCAGCCACACCATTTTCCATGGACCTATATTCAGCTTCAGCACTTGAATGAGAAACAACACTTTGTTTCTTACTCTTCCAGGAGACCAGATTACCTCCAACAAAGGCACAATATCTAGAGGTAGATCTTCGGTCATCAAYACACCTAGCCCAATCAGCATCTGTGTAGACTTCTATCTTCATGTGGTCATTTTTCTTGAACAAAATGCCTCTGCCTGGGGACCTCTTCAAATATGCTAATATCCTTTCAACCGCAAGGAGGTGAGTAGTTCTAGGAGAGTGCATATACTGACTAACTACACTGACTGCAYAAYTRATGTCARGWCTTGTGAGGCAAAGATAGAGAAGCTTTCCAACTAACCGTTGAAACATAGCTTTATCTTCAATAGGCTCTGCACCCTCTGCACTAATCCTGTGGTTCTGTTCAATAGGTGTGTCTGTAGGCTTAACTACCAACTTTCCTGTTTCTTCTAGCAGATCAAGAGCATACTTTCGTTGAGAGACAAAAATCCCATGCTTGGATTTAGCTACCTCATTGCCCAAGAAGTATCGTAGTTCCCCCAGATCTTTTACCTTAAACTCTTGATGAAGGAGTTGCTTAAGAGACTCAATTTCACTAGTATCACTCCCGGTTACTACAATATCGTCCACATACACGACAAGCAAGGTTACGGAGGAACCCACTCTCTTAATAAACAAGGTGTGGTCTGACTGAGCTTGCACATATCCAAACCTATCAAGGGCTCTTCTGAATCTGTCAAACCATGCTTTGGGGGACTGTTTTAGTCCATATAGAGCTTTGTTCAACCGACAAACCTTTCTTGTCTCCGTACCATAAAATCCTGGAGGCAACTGCATGTAAACTTCTTCCTGCAAGTCTCCATTGAGAAAGGCATTTTTAACATCCATCTGATACAACGACCAAGAGTAACTAGCTGCAAGAGATAATAGTACTCTGATAGTGGTTATCTTTGCTACTGGTGTAAAAGTTTCTAAGTAGTCAATACCGTATGTTTGAGTAAATGCTTTTGCAACTAATCGGGCCTTGTACCTTTCAACAGAACCATCAATATTATGTTTCACAGTGAATACCCATCTACATCCAACCGGTTTCTTTCCTTTAGGTTGATCAACTATCTCCCAGGTATTGTTTTTGATGAGGGCATCCATTTATACTTTTATTGCATCTTTCCATTCTGGTACTTCCAATGCTTCTTGTATTGTTCTGGGAATGGGAATATTAGCAATGGATGCGAGAAAAGACTTGTAGAAGGGAGACAAATGATCATAGGATAGGAACTGAGAAATGTAGTGAGCTGTGGTGCAACGACATTTGCCTTTACAGGCTGCTATGGGGAGATCAAGGTCACTGAATGAAGGTGAGGCTCCATGGTTGAATGTCTCTCATCTGCCATCAAAATAGCCTTCTCGTCTAACTCTTTTTATCTCTACATTGTATTTATTATAAAGGGATCATTAGTTTCTTATTCCATCTTTGCATCTGTTTATTTTTTGGGTGTTCTTTGTTTTTGTTTTTCGTCTCTGTATTTTTGTTATTTTATTCAGTTGTTAATGACTCATGCTATCTGTAGAAAGTAAAAGAAATACAATTGCATGTGCTTATAATAATATTATTTTCCATCTGATAGCAATGGAGCTTTTAATGTAGGTTTTGTTGCGTTCAGGACAATTTGAAGGAATTGTGAGATTTCGGTATGAGAAAAAGTTCCTTGTTGATAATGTGGTACTTTTGTACTTTTGCCGCTTTCTACTATTTAATGATGCACCTTAGTACTGCATAAAGTGTTTTCCATATTTGTTATTTTATTCTCTAATAATTTGTTTGGTTCATACTAGAAGTTTATGACTAGGAAAAACACAATGCTTGGGAATAATAGAAGTAGGATATAACTAGATAATTGGAAAGTGGTTACATAGCATACTGGAAGATGACAATAAATGGTTAGATGTACATCAGAATTGCTTCCTGAGTTAAAAATAAATTCCCAATTGGTAGTATTGAGTTTTGACAGTACACAAAATCCAACACTGGATTCATAATTTTCATGTTATGTCAGGTAAAATTTCCATCAGCATAAGTATAGCACATTGTAGGTCCCGTCTTTCTTTTAAGAGTTTGTTGACAATGGATGTAGACAAACACTTTTTGGATCTTGAGTTTCCAGGTTTTTAACCCACAGTGATTTCAAGGGCATATAGTTTTTACACCGTTTTTTATCAACAACAATGCAAAGGATTTCATTCATTAATTAAAACAACAAGTGTCTATTTTGGAGGGGGAAAGTTTCACTAGAAAAATCCTATGAATTGTTTTTCACTTGAAAAGATAAGCTGAAGAGAAGGAGAGAGAGAGGGGGAAAGTTTCAAGAACACGGGAGGGGAACTGCCATTCTGTTTGAGGAAGATGATGACATGGCATGCGTGTTACCAAGTGGAAGAGGAGGAGAGAGAGGGGGAGAGTTTTGAGAACAGGGGAGGGGAATTGTCTCTTATCTTTGGAAATCTCTGAGCAAGGTATGTCAGATTCAATATAAGGTAGTTGAAGAGGCGGTGCTGTGAGTGAATGGGAGAGGTGGGTCTGGTTTCTCGGGTTGTCGGGTCGGGGCCAAAAGGGGTCAGGCGGTTCAAAAGAAGTTTATAATAAAAATGACAAGTCTATAGAGCACATACCTATTTTTGCGTCATGTCCTGTAATGGCAAGAATGGTCTATTTTCATCTCCTTCGAAGGCTGGTCATGATGCCTGACTGAAACGTGGGAGATCAGAGAGGTTTTCTGCTAGCAGGTGGTTGATCAAGGAGGAAGAATGATAAGGAAGGATTCAGCTATGTTTTTAAGGGCAAAAAAGGAAAAGATTTCAAGCAAAATACTCTGAAAGCCTTAGATATCCATTGGGAAAGGAAGAAGGACATCTGGGAATGGGTGAGTATGAAATATGTGGAGTTGGAAGAATCAAGGGTCTCCAAACGTCCAGAGGATGAAAGTAATTCAGAGGAGACTGCCCCTGCTGAGCTTCCATGGTTTAATGGAGGAGGAACATAAGAAAAAGATGATGTCAAGGATTCAGCCGTAAACTCTGACAAAGAAGTTCTAAAATTTTCAGACGGGATTAAGGAGGGTGGTGGACTGGCAGAAAGGGCTGATTAAAAGCATTGTTGTAATCAAGATAAGGAAGCTTCCTTAGGGGAGAGGGAGGAAAGGAAGAGGACGAGTTTTCTGGTAAGAAAATTGGATGAAGAGAGAGAGGAAGGGGTGGAGGTTTTGAAAGATAAACCTTTTGAAGGTGGGGTGAAGGGTGAGAGAAACGGAAGTGACCAGGAATTGATTGGAGAGGAAATCAGAGGGGGAGAAGGAGATAGGAGGAAATAAAGCTAATTTTGACAATGTTAGCACTAATGAAGGAAAAATCAATATTGAGAAGCTAGTACATAGACAAGTGGCAGTTAGGAAATCTTTTGGTCTTTTCCTTTTAGGGGGAGAAGTGGTGGTGAGGAAGGCAACCGATCAATTTGAGCAAAATAGAAGGCAGGAAATGAATAAGAGAAGTGCAGTTGGGGAAGCGGGTGAGAATTGGGAGGAGGGTGAAGGAAAGGAGTCAGAATTCATTGATGAAGAGTAAAGGATGAGGTGGGTTGTGATGTAGTTGAGAGGGTGAGGTTTGGAGGTTTGTGGCTGCGCTACGTTTTGGGTTTTGGGCTTAGCTGGCTTGTTGAAGCTGCTTTTTGTATGTTCTCAAATTCCCATTAACCCATGCCTTATGTAATCTTAGGAGCTGTACTCGAAGTAGCAAAGAAGAGAAGAGAACCTCTGAAATGCAGTGAATGTCGAACTGTCCTTGCCAGTCGACCAAGCTATTATTTATATATGAATGTAGTACAAAGTACAAGAAATTACTGGGATGCCCCTGATTAGTGATGGGGCACCCAGATGACTTGAATCATTAAACAGGATTAGGCCCATTAACACAGGCCCAGTTACAAGATAAGTTAAACATAAGTATGGGCTAATAAGAACTCTTATCAGCTGAACATCACTCTAACATTCTAACACTCCCCCTCAAGCTAAGCATGGATATCAATCATGTTTAGCTTGCCAAGTAAGTCCCTGAACTTTGTTGTTGCCAGTCCTTTAGTTAATACATCTGCAATCTGCATCTCTGGTGGAGTATAAGGCACACAAAGTTCTCCTGAAATAATTCTCTCTCTGACAAAGTGTCGATCAATTTCAATATGTTTTGTCCTGTCATGCTGCACGGGATTGTTGGCAATGCTGATAGCAGCTTTATTATCACAATACAGCCTAAGAGGATCCTCAGTCTTGATACCAAGCTCATTAAGAAGAGTTCTGAGCCATAAGAGTTCAGCAACCCCGTGTGCCATAGCTCGATATTCTGCTTCTGCGCTTGATCTAGCCACAACATTCTGCTTCTTACTGCGCCATGTGACTAGGTTTCCTCCCAAGAATGTACAGTAACCTGAGGTTGATTTTCYRTCTCCAACAGACCCAGCCCAATCAGCATCAGTGTAGGCTTCAATTTCAAGTCTG